AAATTAAAATTTATATATTTTTGGAGTTACTCTAAGATCATTTTTAAAACTAAGAAGGTAGACTTCGGTGTCGTTATTCTCCGTTAAATGCAATGCAGATAGACACGTACAAAGAAACCATTCATTGAATGCCTCTTTATTGGAGACAGGAGAGATACATAGAGATTAAAATTTATATATTTTTGGAGTTGCTCTAAGAGCATCTCTAAGAGTTCCCTAAATCCCCTCATAATCCTTAGTTTTTAGAAAGATTAGAAAAATACCCTCTCCAACAACTCCTAATACTTCTTCCTAAAATTTAGGCACTTGAGAAATCTTCCCCTGTTCCACGTAACTTTACGCGGACGCGACCTCGCGCGGATACGACTTCCCGCGCGGCGTCCTTCTTCCAGCGATTTCTTTTGCCGCGAGTCTCTCCTTCCCGCCGCCGCTGCCGCGGAGCCTCGTGAAGTACACGAACGATCTTGCACTCTTGCGCACGTCGCGGAGGCTCGTGAGGTACACCACCGCCTTCCGCTCGCCTCCCGGCGGCCACAGGGGCGACAACTTGGCGTCGCGGCCCTTGATTCACGTCCATTTGATCTTCTCTTGGAACGCGATGATGCGGGCACGGACAAGGCCGGAAAGCTCTGGAATGTCGCCGGTGGCATGTCACATGCATCCGCGTCCTCCCGCAGCTGCTGCCTGGGTGTCTCGTTTTCGGCGGCGTGGTTGTTGTAGCTCTTCATCTACTCCACCGACAACGTCGCGTGCCTGCACGAGCCCGAGTGGCGGGCGCTGCCGGCGAGGCCGAGGGTGCCGAGAATAGATACGGTCCTCAGCGGCAGCCGCTGGCGGTCGAAGGAGGACAGCGGGAAGCTCTGGCGTGATACGAAACTATATTCAAGTACCATTTGCTCCTGTGTATATGTGCATATTCAAGTAATGCTCTTGGCCGGCTACACGCCTGCTTGCATGCTCCTGTTTGCATGGCACTGTTTGCTGGCGCAAGGTGAAGCTGCTGCTTGCTTGGTGCCGTCTCTGCTTGACTAGGCGGCAGCAAGCTGGCTGGGGTGGCCCAGTGGCGGCGGCGGCGGCGGCTGGGAGTTGGCGACGGCGGCAGGGAGGTTGCGGCGTGAGAAAGGGTTCGGCGCACCCCTTGCAGTCCCGCGATAAAAAAAAAGTCGGGAAAATTGATGTGGGACTCAAATTTATTTTTTTAGAAGTCATTTATTGGAAACTGTTGGAGATGCCCTTCTTTTTTCCTCCCAATACCTTCTTAGAAGTTTGAAAACTACATGTTTTTAGGAGAGAAAAATAAAAAACTCTTGAAGATTATCTAAGATCATTTCTAAAACAAGGTAGACTTTGTTCTCCGTTAAACACAATGCAGATACACACACATATAAAAAAGCCATTCATTGAATGCCTCTTTATCAGAGGAAGGAGAGATATATAGAGATTAAAATTTATATATTTTTGAAGTTGGTCTAAGATTATTTCTAAACAAGGTCGACTTTGGTATCGCTATTCTCCGTTAAACGTAATGCAGATATATAGTATGTTATAGAAACCAAATGCGGTGCGGGTAGATAATTGCCGAATATATAGCTGCACAATAACTGCCAAATTTTATATACTACTACTCCTATAAATAACCTCAACAGCTGACACGAGAGAACGAATTAGGCTTTAGGCTCGATCCGATTTGTTCGCCTCGACTAGGCGCTCACGCGTACGCCGCCGCGGCGCCGCCCCCTCCACCGCCGTCGTGCGGGAAGGAGGAGGGAGCTCTTGATCTCCGTGGGGCGTGTGGGACGCACGCACGACGAGCGGGGCGGCCTCCCCGGTCGGTTGTTGTATCCAACCTGAATCGGGGGAATTCCAGGAGACAGGTGAGCATTGCGCCGCGGTTCTTCCGTTTAGTCGTCACTGGGGTCGGGTTCCGGACTCCCTGTTAATTATTTCGTCCCGTGATGGTTTCGGTAGGGCTTTGCGTAGTAGGAAAATAATCCAGCGGTTTGGTTTTGTCCTGCGGAGGCTTACAGTTCTTCCGACACTGGACTATTGCTTTGGGATTAGCTTGTTACTTTAGCTGGGAATCAGAGGTTTTACGGAAGGAATGGTGTTACTAAGATTCTAGTCTAGACAGTATTCCTGGTACCATGTGAACATATATAGTTCTCTGTTCTGGATGTTAGTTGATTGCGACACTGGAATATGTATGTTTCTTTTGTTCTGCAAAGCCTGCCTGGTACCATGCATGTCTTACAGCCACTAGGCACTAGATGCCTGCAGCATGTACTCTACAGACTAGGGATTATGTGCACTGTCCACAAGACCACAAAACCCTTTGGAATTCTGTAGCCTTACTTTGGATGTCTTTTTTTTTTGTAACTCTGGCCCACTACTGAAACAGAGACTTATTATTCCAGTTTCTTGTCACCGCAGGAAGGAAAGGAAAAGTTGGGAGTGCTACAGAGCTGACTTCTGCAGGTGATAGAATAATGGCCAGCGCTTACAATCCTGGGGATGGTAGATCCTCATCAACTGAAGAGATGCCAAGTGGTCAACAGAATTATTCCGAGAATTCTCTAACTGAGTGGAGGTCCAGTCAGCAAGTTGAGAATAGAGTACCATCCACCTCACCAGCTTACTCGGACACTGATGATGATGATTGTGGTATGTTTTCTAGCTCCTCACATTTGTCTGTGTTTTACTTTGCAAATGCTTTTAGCTAGATCTTTGTAATCTTCCTTCTGATGTTATGACCTAAGTAGGCCAGCTAGATCTCTCCATTCCTAATTAAACCGTTCCATAAAGTTTCTAATAATTAAACTTATTTTAGTTATGCTAATACTTAACCCAAACCTGGCTGGAACCTTGTTCCATTATCTAAAAAAACTTAACCCAAACCCATGTATGATTCAGCGGCTCAGGAAGTCTTAATAACAATTGCAAAATGCAATAAGATGGATGCCGACTTAGATATGTTACCTTCAGGGAGTTTAGTAGGTCACTGCAGTTTGTTTGGGTTACTTATATTAGGCTTAGGGTTATTATATAATGACCTGCCTGATGAACCTGGGCCATTGTTGGAGCTTGTACCAATGGGCATTCACTGGTTTGGTGTGGGCAAGAACAGCGTGACTAGATATGCACTAAGAAGGTGATAACTGAAGGGTGTGTTTGGTTTGAGGAATTAGCTTATCCTAGATGGAGTGGTGCATCTGGTCCATTCCTCAAATTTGGTGGAATGTCCTCACTCCTCATACTAGTACTAATTATTAGCTTGTGAGAAATGAGGTGGTCATGGGTCAACCCATTCTATTCCACAAACCAAACAAAAAACTAAAGAGTGAGATGGTGATCGACCACATCATTCAACCAACCAAACACCTCAGAAGTGCCCTGTATGATGAAGGTCCAAGAAAGTGGAACTGTTGGAGTGCGTTTGGACGTTGTTCTGACTTTTTGGTCGTGGGCTTTCTCCCCATATTTAGTCATTTAGATCAATTACGATTACACCAGTTAAAACTTATGGGGTTCTCTTTTGGGCCTCGGTAACTAAGTAGTTAAGCTGCTTGGATATATGTCATATGTTAAACTTTTTTTTTAGAGTACCAGAAGCATTACTCTTCCAAGGACTGGTGGAATACTAAATATGCAGCCCTATTTCATTTGTTACACTGGCAGCTTGTTCTGTTGCATTCAAGAACCTTTAGCATTATAATTCACTGTCCTAAAAGGCTTCGACTTAGGCGATGCTTATTCTAAAAAGGTTTTTACATTATAAACTATGTAGCTTCTTGTATGGTGTGTGAACATGACTGAGTTGGACATTTCTTCAAATTTGCTTGTAATTGTGTGGAGATGATGATTACTTTTGCTTTTTTAATATTCTACTGAATTACATGTTTCTGACAAGCTGATTTGTGTCATTTTTGCATTTCAATCATTCGCAATATTTAAGTTTTTGCCATCAGTTGGTGCTTTACCTGTTAATTCCGTTGTCTTGTATTATTGTATAGGACCTAGGCCTTCTGAACTTTATGGAAAGTTTACATGGAGAATTGATAATTTCTCCCAAATCAACAGGAGTGAGCTAAGGAGTAATTCCTTTGATGTCGGCGGATATAAGTGGTATGGTCTTTTTGTTTGCATTAATTGGACTCACCATCTAGTTTTTATATTTTTTCTACTACCAGCATGTTTCTATTATGTTGTATCTGGGCTTCTTACTTGCCTGCTGGGTGTAATTTGGCTATTAGTTTTCAGTGACTTTACAAGGAATAGCTGTTAAGTAGGGAAGTTGTAAACACAACAAGGTTTTAATATTCAGCACCGGTTCCACTATTTGCATTATTGCATATATTATTTGAACTACAAATTATGAAAGCTGACCATGCATTTGACAAGTGATTGAACAACTTAGGTGAAAATAATATGTAGCCTTGAGCACAGATGACCCTGTGAGTTGCCTGGTTGTTGAAAATAGGTTCATTAGGTATCACAAACTCACAGAGACCTTGCATCTGTTAACAATTTAACTTACTGGTACTACAAAACTTCCTAGCAACGAGATGCAACAAGTTCGGATGTCCCTGGAAAAGTCTGAGGAGAAGGTTACCAAACTTAAGAAGGACCGGTACAATATGGATTTAAAGATACAGCTTGAGCGTACCAAAGCTGCAATCAGCAAGAGAGAAGAGCAACATCAAAATGACAAGTACATATAAATATTTATATTAAACACAATCATTCATGGCGTGCCATCTGCTGGAGGCTATGAAAGCGCTTGCTTCCATACCACACTTGCCCCTGAACACAAGTCATTAGATGTTATAGCGTGTTCTCTTGGTGAATGGTTGTGTGTAGTAGATATTTGTCACAAGGAACCAAAAGGCCCGTGAAGATTATCTATGACAACGCTTACTAGGCGTGAGATGACAAAACTTAGTCCTCCATGATTAATGAGCATGCACCATTTTGGTTTAGAATGAGGCTTCAAAGTTGAAGTCTCAATTTTCCTTGATCAAAGTTGATAGCTCACTCCAAGGAGCAGGATTGAAGTAGTATACCTCTACGTCTCTTATGTATCCATGCCATCTCAAGGCCTCTGTGAAGGTGGCGAACTTAACAGTAATGGCTGGCCTTACAATTGAAAACTCTCTCAATTCACCTTGAAGGTCGTACTTCTGTAGATCAGAATAAAGTTCCTTCACTTTGTGAACCTTAAATTTCATAACCACATCCTGCATGTAGGGATTACACGAATAAGGATCATTTGAGCACGAGTTCTTACACAAAAACTATATGAAAATTTCATATACCGGGCGACATTAGTTGTCCACTGCTATCGTGAAGTACGTCCATGGCATATAAACCATCCCATCTTGTACCTTAAAGTCCAAACATTCGAGGCGTTCAAATGGTTGTCTATATAATGCAAAATATAAATTAATATAGTACCATAGTTACCTCGACATTCATCTTGCCACGGACCTCCTGTTGTTGGATCAAGGACTCAATAAGGGACTTCAACTTTGAGCGCTCATTCTCCAACTCAATCAATTGTGCCCTTGCCTGATTAGTCATGTAGTCAAATTTTTGTCGCTCGTTCTTTATGTTGTCATAATTTTCTTCACAGGCCTTTCGTAAGACTTCATTTGCGAGATCACATTCCTGTTCTATCTTCTGGGCATAGAGAACACGCTGATCAGATAACGCTTTGTTCAGCACGGCAATATGTGCTTTCTCCGTTCTTTTGCCTAAGTCAGAATGCTCTTTCTGTACCGCTTTGTCCAGCAAGGCACGCTAAAGCGATATGTACTCGTCATTTTGATGTTGCTCTTCTCTCTTGCTGATTGCAGCTTTGGTACGCTCAAGCTGTATCTTTAAATCCATATCGTACCGGTCCTTCTTAAGTTTGGTAACCTTCTCCTCGGACTCTTCCAGGGACCTCCGAACTGGTAGTGGGTCAATGAAGGCGGTAATGGCTGTAATGCCTGCCATTGGCAATCCATATTTTGGGGAGAAAATTTGTAGGTTTTGCATTTATTGCATGGAGAAGAAAGGCTATTGTAATGGTAAAATGATGTATTTAATTTTGTGCCATATGTTGTTTGTTATATGGCCTTTCTTGGTCTGATATAATTTTAACATTTTTTCTCGAACGATATTATTTGAACATTTACTGCCATGGAGAAGAAAAGCTATTGTAATGCTAAAATTATGCATTTAATTTTATATCCCTTTTTTGTTTATTATGTCCTTTTCGATCTATATATTTTAATTTGCTTTTAGTTTTATCGGCTGATACTTGCTGCATCATATTTTGAGATCTATCAGTTGAGTTTCAGGTATATCTTAATTTACCCACAAGGATGTGATGTCTGCAATCACCTCTCACTCTTTCTTTGTGTTGCCAACCATGATAAGCTACTCCCAGGTAGATGCATAATTTGATGCATTGTATTCGACTCACTTCAGTTTGTGACTCCTCTATATATCTTCAATATGATTTGCTTTTGTTCAGGATGGAATCACCTTGCGCAATTTACAATAGCTGTAATTAATAGAGACCCTAAGAAATCTAAGTATTCTGGTGAGTTCAATGAACTACTATCTGGTTTTCCTAGTGCCTACAGCTAAAATAGCTAGCTTTTGCTTGCCTTCTACAACTGTAGTTTACGGAAAGTAGCATTTCAGATACACTGCATCGGTTTTGGAAGAAAGAGCATGATTGGGGGTGGAAAAAGTTTATGGAACTGTCAAAATTACATGATGGCTTTATTGTTGAGGATGTTCTTACCATCAAAGTCCAAGTTCAAGTTGTCAGGTATCTGTTTTCTTTGCATCTTACTCTTATATTCAATGGTAGCATCAATGTTTTTCAAGTGGGATTGTGGGAAGTATCTGTTAACTTTGCATAACCATGTCTGCTTCTGCATTCTAATATTTGAGGGAGAAGACAGACCGTCCATTTCGTTCCCTTGATGGCCAGTACCGAAGGGAACTAATTAGGGTGTATCTATCAAATGTGGAACAAATTTGCCGGCGCTTTATTGATGAAAGAAGAAGCAAGCTTAGCAGGTTGATTGAGGATAAACTGGGTTGGTCCAGGTTAGATAAACTTATGAACGGCGCATTAGTGTTTTATGACCAGTCTCATTTCCAAGCCATTTTTTTTTTTGATTTTTTTTTTTTTTGGTGTATTGCAGTTTCAGTGGATTCTGGCTAGCAATGGATCCAAGTGTGCGTCGGCACATGACAACGGAAAAGACTGAAACTATATTGAAAGTTCTAGTGAAACAATTCTTTATAGAGAAAGAAGTTACATCAACCTTGGTAATTGACTCACTATATAGCGGACTTAAGGCACTAGAATACCAGAGCAAGAACAAAAAAGGGATACCTAAACTAACAGAGACAGATGCTCGGAGCACTCCAATGGTGCTTATTGATCAGGACATGTTTATTTTGGCTGATGATGTGATACTTTTGTTTGAAAGAGCTGTGTTGGACACACTACCACACCAACCATTGCCCACAAAAGAAGATGAAGGAACACAGTACCGCACAAAGGTATGCATGTTTCTTTGATCCCTTACACATTGCTTTATAAGGTAACGTGCATCCTAGATGATTCCATCTTGTGGGCGGTTGACTAGAACAGCTATTTGCAGATGTACTTTTTTTTACATGTTCAATATCAAACTGAAAGCATTTTCATCATGGTGTGCATTTTTTTGTTGTGCAAAGGCCTGAGAGTGAATAGGTCTCGGAAAATTGTGATAGATTGATATGGGTATATGGAGTACATTATATAGGCAAGAATCAGGAAGGCTTTATAGAAACACCCAATCAACGGTGATCCTTGCCTAACCAATAATCATCTATCATAATCCCTAGAGGCAGCCCAGTCGATAGGCTTGGGCGTCAGGCCCATGGCCAGCCCATAAGGCGCCTATTCTAACACGGCCCACAAATTTTGAAATTTTATTCGTATTACATTCAAAATTACTTTCACAAAATGAACTCAGCCGTGAAGCTATGGAGGAAATAAATGTTTATATGTACCATTTTGCTTTGGAATTGGGCCTGAACCTATGAGTCGTTTATTATTTTTATCTTTCGTAGTTACAAAATGAGATATACTTATTCATCATTCATGTTTCCCTATCCAATTTATCTCTTTATGGGTTTTATTCTACTGTATGTATGGATCCCTAACAAATCCCCTTATTGTAGGATGACAACTCAAGTGACGAGTTCGACAAAGATTCTATCGAGCGTGATGATAGATGGCTTACAGAGTTAGGCTGGAAGACACTGGAACTTTTTGCCTTAGCTCATATATTCAGGTAAGCAAACTTTTCTAGTTGTTTGTTCCAATATTTTGCTTCATGAATAGATATTAGGTCAGCCACCCAAATTGTTGATTCATGGTTCACTTGAGGTGAGTGCCTTTTTATGTTGCTTATTTTAATACTCCATCGATTCCAAATTATAAGATGTTTTGGTTTTCCTAGATACATTGCTTTTACTATGCAGATACATTGTAAAACTAGAAAAGACATGGAGGGGGTATATGCTAGTGCAGAGTTGCAGAAATTCTATGTCCTGTTTGTTTTGTGTCTAATTGTTTCATCAGGTTTTGGAAAAAATATGTTTTAAAAATCTTTTACTTGGATAAACATAAATCTTCTGATGAAATTCATAATTCAAACCCCACTTCAATTATGGTTATTTTACATGCTCATCCTACTTTATTAAAGTCTCGAAACTCTTGAAACAGCCGAACAGAAGTGGCATACCAAGAGGCGATGGCTTTGAAGCGCCAAGAGGAACTCATTCGTGAAGAAGCATCTGAGCGAGCTGGAATTGGACTTAAGGCAAAGCGTAGTGCTGCTGATAAGAAAAGGCGTGGCAAGAACATGTGAAGTGTTATATTTTCTAAAAGAACACAGCAATATATAATTCATCAGATGCTATGATATTGCCATATGCTCATTTGCCGTGAATAGACTTATATGCCACCGTTCTTAGATTCTAATCTCGTGCATTCTCTTTGAGAATTAATGTAAGAACGAGAACAAGAAAGATTGAAATGTGTTTTTCCGTTGATTGATCGGGTTTATATACATGTTAAATCGCTGCCATGGTATGAATGACGTCGGCTCGGTAAAGCCTATCCTTTTTTTTTTCGGAACGTGCCTCGGGCACAGTTTTCATTAAGCATGAGAAGATAGTTTACACGAAATTACAAATAAACGCAATGGTAATCCACCGATTACCAAAGCACAACGGCCATGGGCATCAAGTGAAATTGATTTACATACTACTATGCTTGCGACGGGAATGACCCCTGGAGACTACATCAGTGTTAGCAAGGACAGGAGGTGCTTGTATCCTGCCAAACACCACTCCTCGGCCTCGCCTCAGATCGAGCAAGCCAGACCAGCCGCGTCAGTAGAAGCTCCATAAAAAATGTGCGAGTTCCTCTCCTTCCACAGTCTCCAGCCAACTAGGAAGAAGAGCGAATCAAACCCCTTTCTCGCCGGTTTGACAACGAGCTTTCTGTTGCGCAGCCACCACTCCATGACATCCTCCTCATTGACAAGCACAACATCCAGGAGATGAAGTTTGGCCAGTAGAATGGCCCAGACCTCTCTGCTGTAAACACAACCCAAGATGATATCATCCATAGTCTCCATCAGTTGGTCACAAGTGATGCAGTTGCTGGAGTCTTGCAAGCCATGGCGAAACCGCCGTTCCGCGGTCCAGCATCTCCTGTGCATTACCAACCAGAAGAAGGCACGAACTCTTGGCGGCGCCGAGGTAAAGCCTATCCTGAACGGATGTAATCCTTGCTGGCGGCGTCGGTGATTACAATATCCTGATGGCTGGATCTAATCATATTCACTAATCTCTTAAAAGGCGAAATCTGCACCAACGACTCTGGCCTATCATTTTGCCACGTTTTTGCACCCAAAGCAGGCTAAAACCTCGGGAATCTTCTCGACGCGTCCGCTCGCTCGGCTTCGATGAGAAGGGCGGCAGCACAGGTAACCGCGCGGGCCACCGGCGAGGCAAGCCGAACGCGACCTTGGCCACGGGACACTGGTATTCAGGCCGCGTTTAGATGCCAAATTTTTTTGGTTTTGGGTACTGTAGCCCGTTTGTTTGTATTTGGCAATTAGTGTCTAATTATGGACTAATTAGGTTCAAAAGTTTCGTCTCGCGATTTCTCACCCAACTGTGCAATTAGTTTTTTTTTCATCTACATTTAGTACTCCATACATGTGTCGCAATATTCAATGTAATGGATACTGCACAAAATTTTTTGGAATCTAAACAGGCCCTCACTAATCTCTTAAAAGACGAAATCTGCACCAACTCTTAACAGGCGAAATCTACGCCACCTATCATTTTGCCACGTGTCTGCACCCAAAAGCAGGCTAAAACCTCGGGAATCTTCTCGACGCGTCCGCTCGCTCGGCTCGATGAGAAGGGCCGCAGCACGGGTAACCGCGCAGGCCACCAGGCGAGGCGGGCGAGCTCACTGGCGAAGCGGCGAGGCGAGCCGAATGCGACCTTGGCTGCGGGACACCGGATGCCCGCAGAGCATCATCGAGTTGTGAAGCCGTGGACGAGCTGTGGGGGAGTCACGTGCGCCTGGAGCCGGCCGTGCCCGCGCCAGGGCCACCTCTTCGCCACGCCGGTGGCCGAGTGGCCACCGTGCCGCGTTAGGGAGCGTGTCCGCCCCGCCATGGCCGGGGGCCTGGGCCGCCGCACCGTAGGGGCAGACCCTCCTTGTAAGTTTGTCTGCCGGATCGGCCGACGCGCACGCGGACACCACGAGGCAAGCGCCAGCGCCGGCGTGGCGTTGCGCTCTCTAACCTGCGGTTAGCTTTGCACCGGCAGCTTCCTCGTGTCCTTCTCCTTCCACGAGCCCAACGCCGAGGAGGACAGCAGCAAAGTCCAGGCCTTCCTCGGAGATGGAGAGCGCCATCAGGGACCATCTGCTTTGGGCCAACGCCACCAACCAGGAGATCGACCACGCGCTCAAGGTGAAGCCCTGCCACACTGATCACATGTTTGTGTTTCAGACGCCCTGATGAGTTTTTTTTTCTGATATCAATTGTTGTAATGTTGTCATTGTACTGTCGTATATTCAAGAGTTGCTTGTTTTAATCATGTAATATCCAAATTTGAAATTATCCAAAATTCCCATAAAAGAAAACATTCCAGTGATCCAGCCAAAGCTTATGCTAACTATGACCATTCATTTTCTGCACATGCCACTCTAGCTTGCAGTGAAAGAATTGCAGAAGATTAATTCCTTCAAAGCACCACGCGAGAAGCTTCTATGCATCATGAGCTGTTGTTAAGTCATCAATAACTTGCTTCTGAACATATCAATGTCAAATGATCGAACATTATCTGAGGCTGATGAATTCCTTCCTATTCTTATCTATATTACCATCAAGATAAGGCCAATCCTCGGCTGCACTCAAATCTGAAGTTTGTTCAGATCTATTAGAAGAGAAACAAAGCTAATTCGGGAAGTCGAATATTATCAGACAAACCTCATTTCAGCAAAGATGTTTATAATAGATATCAATGCTCGCTCACTATCAGTAGTGGAAATCGAGTTTCAGAAACATATGGAATCACCAAGACTAGCTACTCAAACAGTTTCTAGCGGAGTATTTTTTATATTTTTATCTTTTTTATTCAATATTTTTATAATAACCACATTCTTTTTTTCTTTTTTCTTTTTTTTTTGCAGAGATGCTTTCCATCAGAGCCTTAAAAACGTTATCTCATCATGTAAAGTACCTAAGAGCCCAAGCGGTGAATTCAGGTCCATTCAAAACAAAATAAATTTTTCAGGCAAAAACATTATTAGTAGCACTGTTCATATTTGCTTTTTCTATATTAATTATCTTGTAATACTGCTATTTGTTCTCCACAGAAGCTAAGTAACACTAAAGGCAATATAACTCTTTCACTGCCACTTTTATCTATACAGCTAGCTCCATGATGCAAGCATCCCACGGGACCGCGCGGCGAGGCCACGCGTTGCTTTCTAGTCTGTATGGATCTTGATCGGAGGGAAGAGATCACCCTCCAGTGGTTGGTTACTTGACATTAATCAATTGCATTTAATCCTCCAAAAACCTTATATGAAAGATATGATGCAATAATGTTGATATGACATTAAGCTTCTTAAAAACCCAGTGGAAAAAATAGGGATAAATAATATAACACATTTATGGATTTGTATAAAAATAGGGAGAAATGATCTAACACATTTATGGATTTGTATTGTTGTAATAAACTTATATGAGAAAACTTTATTAGGAAAAAAACCACAAGCAAGTTCAACATTACATGTCTTAGATATTCCCTAAAAAAACTCTTAAGAGAATAAGTAAATGTAAGGCATTCTTGAGTTCATATTGTCTCAGCAAAAACCTTATATTATGCTAGTACATGTTATTATTTTTAGAGAGCATCTACCCATGTGTTTACAAGTCTCGAAGTCGTGGCATACTAATACTATGAACAATTAAACTGCGGTAAAGACTTCATCAATAAATCTGCAAGAATATCACAAGACTTTATTGTAAAATGTTAATTCCCCACTTGGTTACAATTCATTTAACATATTTACACATGTGTAACACAAACAACATTATACGTAGATAATTCTTGGCGATTTAACAGAACTAATACCACTTTGTTGTATGTGGCTAATCATTCTCCGGAGCCATACACATTCGTGTTATGCTACATATAGTGCAATAATTTCAGAATGATTTGTAGAGGTTGTCACTAGAGTATGTTTACATGACTTTTATGTGATGGTTGTTTCTCCATATAAAAATACAAAGATTGTTTGGGATCTAGTATACTATGAAGATTTGACATATAGCCAACATCAATATATCTATGTCTAATCGTAGTTGGGTATTAGTTTCTTTGGAAGAATAATCCAAGATCTTTTCTACCATTGACATATCTTAATATACGTTTATCTCTTGTCCAATGACGTTTTGTTGGAACAACACTATGTATAGCTAGCAGATTCACTGCAAATGCAGTATCAAGACTGGTGCAATTTTCAAGATACGAAGTGTTCCAATGACATCGAGATATGGAACCTCGGGTCCTAGTATCTCTGTCCTTATACCTTGGTCTAATTGGATCTTTCTCCATGTCTAGAGATTGAACAATCTGATTTAGATGGATATGATTTATCCATACTAAATTTCGTTAGTATTTTCTAGATGTAGGCAGATTGATACACTAAAATTCACGAGGGGAGGTGCTCAATTTGTGAACGTAAGGAAATGGCACCTACCTAGGGACATATAGTTGATTTTGCTGATTGTCTGACAACATGATCGAATGGACTAATGTTGTTTTGCTAGTATACAAGGTATTTAATCTATTAGATGCAAGGATGGCTCTTGGACAAAGGCAACATGAAGACCAAGTGATCAACACCTTAAGAAAGGACAATGCCCTGCTGTTAAAGACTTAGAGGACATGCAAGAAGTCCAAGACATCAAGTAGAAGAAGCTCGGACGAGAAGACGCGAAGAAACGGAGCCAAATCGGCCGATCTACTATGCTTAGATTCACCAAAATTCTCCGGTTGTGCCTTGATAGAGGCACCGGAGCTTAGGCTCGGGCAAAGATAGTTTTGAAGAGGGTTTACAGACCCACCAGAATTCTCTGGTGGTATATAGGGGGAAGCATCGGAGAAAGCAGTGCAACCATGGAAGATTCTGCAGAGAAGTTGGAGGCCTCAGTGAAGGCACTAGAGGAATTCGGTGCTAGGCACTAGAGAAAAGATGGAGCTTACTGTGCTAAAAAAGAGCTCCTAGAGTCACCGAAAAACTCCATAGGTCCCTAAGAGACCCTA